AAAAAAAAAAAAAAAAAAAAAAAAAGAAGCAAAAATACAAAGCAATCTACTCAGTGTAGTAAGTAGAATAATGAACATCTAAAATGTCTGTGTTTTAAGCCTTGGAACCTATAAGTATAGATGAAAAGGGACCTTATATGGCAAAAGGTGTAAATAAATTAAAGATCTTGAGCCATGGTGATTTATCCTGGGTTAGCAGAATTTGCATGGGTAATCACAAGAGTCCTTGTAAGGAGACAGAGCACCAGGGAAGGCAGAAAATGCTGTACTGCTGGCTCTGAAGATGGTAGAGGGGCCTCTGACTACTGAAAAATGCAAGGGAATAGATGCTCCCTTAGCTTCTCAATTCGGATTATTCTCTTGGACCTCTGCTAGACTTCCGGCTTTCTAAACAGCAAGGCAATCAATGTCTTCTACTGAGGCACTAAATTTCTGGCAATTTGTTGTAGCAGCAATGAAAAACTAATACACTCCCCAAGTCCTTCAGCTATAAGAGAAATCGAGCCCAGAGTTATTCGATGATTCAGGAGCTCAAGCTCTTAAACCTTCTGCTTGGATTGCTCTCGGATCAGGTGCAAGCTCTGTGAAGTGTGAACAGCATTTGTCCATGACATTGAGCTTCCCTTCTGTAGTACTGCTGAAAGCACTGAAACGAACTGGAGAGATTAAGGAGTCTGGACATTGTGTAAAGGACAAGACCATCCACAGGGGAACAATGTGGGTTTTTGTTTCCGAGAAATGTGACAGAAGCCTTTAGGCTGTGATCTGCCTATGATGCTCCCTGCCAAAGGTAATGTTGGTGCGTTTGGAAAGCCTTTTACCCTGCTCTTTCCTTTCTTTGCACAAATATTTTGAGCAACAAGATCTGAAAGTTCACACCGGGATTAGCACATTGCCCATGGATACTTTACAGAATTTTGTTTCTGCAGTGAAGGCAGGAGACGATGAAGCCAATTTTAAAGAAGCAGCTCCTTGGCTAGTTTACTTCTTCCTGGACATCTAGTTTTCCAGTGTTTGTTCATCACATGAAGAGGCTGAATATTTGTCAGCAATGAATGGGCTCCGTTAGTTTGTTAGTTTGACTTGATAAAATGAAGGTAAAGATGAGAATTAACATTTATTAAAGACAGGGATGAGTGTACCTAGTTTTATACATGGAGTATCTAAATCATTCTTCTGAATAATACTGGAGGCTGATCCTACTGACCTTTATTTACAATG